ACCAGGAAACTGAGGCCCAGAGAGGAATAGTGACTGCCCAGGGTCACAGGTTAATGACTGAGCCCACATTTGAATTCAGGTCAGTCTGGCTTTGACCCCTTGCCCCTGCCATCCGGCCTGTATGTATCATCTGAGTCTGCTGGGGTGGACAGAGGGACGGCTGGCTCCAATCTGGCCGGCTCCAGTCTGGCCCTAGGAGGGTGGGGGCTGCAGGCAGCCCCACGGCTCCACTCCTAGAAGAATTGCTGGAAGCAACTTTCTATAAGTGGCTACTAGTGTTCAGGGCCTCCTCACCGAAATCCCCCCTTCCCGCCACCAACCGCTGGGCCAACAATGGCATCTGTGGGACACTGGCACAAAAATAGAAACTCGGTCTCCCCCGCCCACCCACTCAGGGAAGGGGCGGGGGTAGGCCTGAATTGGCCTAGGTCGGAGCTGGGAGTGAGGGGCCGGCCAGCCAGCCTACCTCGGCTGGGCTCCCAGAATTCACAGGATGCCATTCGGAAGACTGGGAACTTAGAGGTGGGGGCCAAGGCAGACCCCTTGCTTTGCCTCTGGGCTCCGGGCCGGGGTGGGGGGGGGGCAGGAGGGAAGAGGGAAGTCAATGTGCGTATGAGTGACTGTGATGATGAGTCAGGGCCATGGGATGGAAATGTTTGCTATGGAAACCCAGCTGGGGTTTTCTGGTAACCAGCCAGCCTCAGCTAGGTCTAGGAGCTCAGAGACCCCCGGGGGGCCCAGCTTTCCTGCCTCCCCAAGCTTGCACACTGCTCACTTGCTGTGTATCCCCACCCCATGGCTGCCCCTCCCTGGGCCTCAGCCCCCACCCCCTTTCTGCCCCCAACTCTACCAGGAGGGACGCGGTGACGACTGAGTGATGGGTGAGGAGCTGAATGTCGTGATAAATGTCCCCACAAAGTTCCAGTCTCCTCATGCCCTCACTCTTGGCATGACCCGACACTGACCTCCACTTCTCTTTTCTAACTTCCTTTATCTAGAGCCCCACCCTGTCCTACCAAGTGGGGAGACTGAGGTACAGAGGAATAGGGACAGTTGCCGAGCAGCAGCAAGAATGGAGGTTCACAGGGCTCTTTCCTGTCAGCTCCGAGCCGTGCTCCCTGCTGCTCTGTCACCCGCAGTGCTCTCGGCCTGTGGATGCCCACGAAGGGGCAGAGGATGGACCTCATCCACTGCAGCCCATCAGCAGCGTCTCCAAACCCCAGCGCCCATCTCTTCACTGGGTGTGGGGCCCCAGAAGTCACTCCCCTGGGTGAGGACAGCTAGGTGGGGCTGGACAGTGATGAACTGAAGGGGAGTCCAGAAGAACGGGGCTGAGAGGGAGACATGGTGCAGGAGAGGTCTGGGGGCTGTGGGCTTCACTCTGGTCCCCGACTTCGCCCCCAGCAGGTCCCTGGGTAGTTTCCCTCCCTAAGCCTCAATTGCTGCATCTGTAAACTGGGAGGATACCTGACTCTGCTTCAGTGAAAACCCACGTAACACGCGCAGTCCAGGGCCAGGCACATGGTTCACAGGTCGAACCATGTGAAATTACTGATATTCTGTTGTTTTTTTTTTTTTTTTGACAGCTTTATCCAGATAACGTTGGCCCATTTAGAGTGTACAATTGAATGGTTTTTAGTAGATACACAGGGTTGTGCAATCCTATTCGATTGTTCAAGCTAACGGTACATACGCAATCGGGGTAAGAAGGTGGGGGCAGGGCCATTCTCAGAGATTCTCAAAGATTCTCATTCTCCAGGATTCTGGCAGGTCGGCTGTACCAGGCCTTTCCCAACACCACCGACGTGGGTCTCCCTCTGCTCAGGTTAATTTCAGGTAGTCTGCCAACTATACTTCAATTTTTATTTATTTATTTTTTTTTTTTTTTAAAGATTTTTATTTATTTATCAGAGAGAGAGAGCACACAAACAGGGGAAGCGTCAGGCAGAGGGAGAAGCAGGTTCCCTGCTAAGCAAGGAGCCTGATGCGGGACTCAATCCCAGGATCCTGGGATCATGACCTGAGCCGAAGGCAGACGCTTAACCAACTGTGCCACCGAGGTGCCCCTATACTTCAATTTTTAAATAAATTAATGAATTAAATGAAAACTTCAGATAATGATCATAATCCTGGAACAAAACGTCGGTTCTGACATTTAGCTTTGTATTTCATGTTTTACCGAAATATATTAAATCCAGTATTTAATTTTTAATGTGTTTAGAATGCATAAATATTTCTTTTTTTTTTTAAGTTTTATTTATTCAAGTAACCTCTACACCTAGCATGGGACTCGAACTCACAGCCCTGAGATCAAGAGTTGCACGCTCCTCTGGCCAAGCTGCCAGATAACCCTACAATGCATAAATGTTATTAAAAATTGATTTAAGGGGCGCCTGGGTGCCTTAGTCGTTAAGCATCTGCCTTCAGCTCAGGTCATGATCCCAGGGTCCTGGGATCGAGCCCCGCATCGGGCTCCCTGCTCAGCAGGAAGCCTGCTTCTCCCTCTTCCATTCCCCCTGCTTGTGTTCCCTCTCTCGCTGTGTCTCTCTCTGTCAAATGAATAAATAAAATCTTTAAAAAAATTAAAAAAGATAAAAATTGATTTAAAAAGATGTTTTGAAAACCAAAAGGTTATAAAACCCATCAAAAACTCTAATTAATAAAAAATATGAACTTGCAAAACATAAATTTGAAACCTATATTATCGTTCTATAAATTCACATAAAAATAGTGATCCGAAGATAGGCAATGTCAATAGCTCACTAAAATAAAAAAGTTACTTGTAAAACATTGAAAATGAAATCACATTATTCGCTCTTTTGTTTTAAAGAGCAAAGTTACAAACAAAGAGTGACTACGGTGTCATTATTGACTAACGGAAATATTTCTGGGCAGATTTTTCCAGTGGCTGAAACACTCTCTCTTGGCTCTGTGACAACAGCTGGGGAAATGTCCAGAAGATCATTGGAAGTGAAATCTAAAACTTTCCACTGATGTCTTCATCTTGAAATACCTCTCTCCTTTTTGATAAGTATGAGGAGATTTGGGGGGTCAGGTTTTCTCTCTGTTGTAGAGGCTGCCCGCTTCAGAGAGCGGCTAGAGCTCATTGCTCTCCGTGGAGAGTTTCCATTCATCTTTGTCCTCATGAGTCTGTGGCAGGGCTCCCGAGGTCTATCCCTGCCTGTCCGCTGGTTCAGAAAGTCTGAGTAGAGCTGAGGTTGTTCGTTCGTTCGTTCTTTCTCTTTCTTTCTTTTTCTTTCTTTCTTTCTTTTTCTTTCCTTTCTTTCTTTCCTTTCTTTCTTTCCTTTCTTTCCTTCCTTTCTTTCCTTCCTT